CAGGTGTGCTGGTGGCAGGCTGAGTGGTTGATGGAGTGCTTCCTCCACCAGGAGTGGTTGAGGATGTGGTGGAGCCTGCAGGAGCAGTGGTGGAGCCTGCAGGAGCAGTAGGGGAGGAAATGCCCTGAATAGACGTGGTCACCGGTGAACTGGTACCTGCTGGAGGAATTGACGGGGTGTTGGCCTCAGTAGTGGCCCCAGGCGTGGGGGTGGCAGGCTGAGTGGTTGATGGTGTGCTTTCTCCACCAGGAGTGGTTGAAGGCCTTGTTGCACCTCCAGGAATGGTAGAGGAGAAACTGAACTGCATAGACGTGGTTACCAGTGAGCTGCTGCCTCCAGCAGCAGTTGACAAGGTGCTGGCCTCCGTAGTGGCCCCAGGTGTGGTGGTGGCAGGTTCGGTGGTTGATGGCGTGCTCTCTCCACCAGGAGCGGTTGTAAATGTGGTGGCGCCTACAGGAGTGGTAGGGGAGGATCTGCCCTGAGTAGACGTGGTCACTGGTGAGCTGGTGCCCACAGGAGTGGTTGTTGGCGTGGTGGCCTGGGTAGTGGCCCGAGGTGTGCTGCTGACAGGCTCAGTGTTTAATGGTGTGCTTCCTCCACCAGGAGCGGTTGAGGATGTGGTGGTGCCTTCAGGAGCAGTAGGGGAGGAAATGCCCTGACTAGACGTGGTCACCAGTGAACTGGTGCCCCCAGGAGGGGTTGACAGTGTGCTGGCCTCAGTAGTGGCCCCAGGTGTGGCGGTGGCAGGCTTGTTGGTTGATGGTGTGCTTCCTCCAACAGGAGAGGTTGAATGCGTTGGGGCACCTCCGGGAGTGATAGGGGAGGAAGTGGCCTCAGTAGACGAGGCCACCAGTGAGCTCATGCCTGCAGGAGCACTTGTTGGCATGCTGGCCTCGGTGGTTGACCCAGGTATGCGGGTGGCAGGCTCAGTGTTTGATGGTGTGCTTCCTCCACCAGGAGCAGTTGGGGATGTGGTGGTGCCTCCAGGAGCAGTAGGGGAGGAAATGCCCTGAATAGACATGGTCACCGGTAAACTGGTACCTGCCGGAGGAATTGACGGGGTGCTGGCCTCAGTAGTGGTCCCAGGTGTGGGGGTGGCAGGCTCAGTGGTTGATGGTGTGCTTTCTCCACCGGGAGTGGTTGAAGGCCTGCTTGCACCTCCAGGAATGGTAGAGGAGAAACTGGACTGAATAGACGTGGTTACCAGTGAGCTGCTGCCTCCAGCAGCAGTTGACAAGGTGCTGGCCTCCGTAGTGGCCACAGGTGTGGTGGTGGCAGGTTCGGTGGTTGATGGCGTGCTCTCTGCACCAGGAGCAGTTGAAAACGTGGTGGCGCCTACAGGAGTGGTAGGGGAGGATCTGCCCTGAGTAGACGTGGTCACTGGTGAGCTGATGCCCGCAGGAGCGGTTGATGGAGTCCTGGCCTCGGTAGTGGCCCCACTTGTGGCGGTCACAGGCTCGGAGGTTGATGGCATGCTTTCTCCACCGGGTGAGGTTGAAAGTGTTGTGTCACCTCCAGGAATGGGTGGGGAAAAACTGGCCTGAGTAGACGTGGTCACCAGTGAGCTGGTGCCCGCAGAAGTGGTTGTTGACGTGCTGGCCTGGGTAGTGGCCCCAGGTGTGCTGCTGGTAGGCTCAGTGGTTGATGGTGTGCTTCCTCCACCAGGAGCGGTTGAGGATGTGGTGGTGCCTTCAGGAGCAGTAGGGGAGGAAATGCCCTGAATAGTCGTGGTCACCGGTGAACTGGTGCCTGCAGGAAGGGTTGACAATGTGCTGGCCTCAGTAGTGGCCCCAGGTGTGTCGGTGGCAGGCCCTGTGGTTGATAGCGTGCTTCCTCTACTGCGTGCATGTGAAGACATCATGATGCCTCCAGGAGCGGTCAGAGAGGAACTGGCCTGAGTATCGGTGTTCCCCAGTGTGGTTGTAGGATCCCCAGATGTTAAACACGTGTTGGTTGCAGACCTGTTCATAGTGTTATTTGTGAGAAACGGCTCTCTGGATGTATTGCTCCCTTTACTCTGTTTTGATATGGGTGTGGTAGTGCCTTCAGAAGTTGTAGGAGATGAAGGGTCTTCAGTAGAACCTTGGAGAGGTGTGGTGCTGTCATTGTTAGATTTTGAGGTTGTGCCTGGGTCTACTGATGTCAACCCAGGACTGGAGACACCAGGAGTTTCTGAATGCATGCTGCTCTCGTCGGAGGTCAGCTCAGGGGTGGACCCGTTTCTCGAACCAAGTCCCGTCATCGCGAGTTTTGTAAGTGTTTTACCTATGGCAGTGTTCACCACAGAACCTGTTTAAGATACAATGACATTTTCTTTAGGAGTTTCTTAGGGTTCTCTATGTCAGGAGTGATTGTTGTAGTGGGCTTTTTCCTGAACATGTGTTCAGATGAGTGATGTCATTACCCCTTTTCAGGATGAAGTGGAGTCCATTTCTCCAGTGCCTTAGTCTCCCCTGCCCACAGTTCTACACCGTTAGGAATTGAACTCAACCCGAACCCTCTTTCTTGCACAGTCCCTGCCTGCGTCACTTCCACACCTGCCTGTCTTTCCTGGCCACAGATCTCAAGCTGTCACACACTGTACAATCTGGGGGCTTCACCAGCCTGGCAGGGGTCACTCCAGTCCTTTCGCAGGTGGGCCATCTTCCCAGATCTTGGAGTCTGTCTCCTTACCTGTCTGTTGGCTCCAAGACAGCTGCCGGCACTGTAGGCTCTGGGGGCCCTCTTGGGAGACACACCCCCCTCCATCCCACACAGTGCTGTTCATGCCAAGGTCTGAAAGAGACAAAGGGGAGTTAGTCTCCAGAACCACTATCCTCTTTTATTCTCTTGAAGCTTCTGAGTCTGTACTCCCTGCCCTGGAAAGTCCCTGGCCCCTGGACCAGCATGCCGATTTCAGTTAGAAATCAGCCACATCAGGACCCTGCCCTTAGAAGTAAAGGAAGAAGATGGGGCAGGGGGTTTGCTCCCTATCCTGGGGGAGGCCCAGGAATGTCATATTGTGCAGGTAACAGGTGCTTATAGTCCCAGCACTTTGGGAGGCTGGGGCGAGAGGGTCGCTTGAGCCCAGGCGTTCAAGGCTACAGTGAGCTGTGGTTGCACCACTGCACTCCAGCCTAGGTGACAGAGTGAAACTCTATCTCAAATTTAAAATATTAGCTGGGGATGGTGGCACACACCTGTAGTCTCAACTACTGCGGAGGCTGAGGCAGGAGGATCACTTGAGCCCAGGAGATCATGTTCATAATGAACTATGATGGCACCCCTGCACTCCAGCCTGGGTGACAGAATGAGATCTTGTCTCTTAAATAAATAAATATTTTTAAAAGAGGGAATATGGCTTATTAGAATAACATGCCAACTGGCTGGGCGCGGTGGCTCATGCCTGTAATCCCAGCACTTTGGGAGGCCAAGGCAGGCGTATCACGAGGTCAGGAGTTCGAGATCAGCCTGGCCAACATGGCAAAATCCTGTCTCTTCTAAAAATACAAAAATTAGCCAGGCGGGGTGATGTGCGTGCCTGTAATCCCAGCTACTTGGGAGGCTGAGGCACAAGAATCGCTTGAATCTGCGAGGCAGAAGTTGTAGTGAGCTGAGATTGCACCACTGCACTCCAGCCTGGGTGACAGGGCAGGACTCTGTTTAAAAAAAAAAAAAAAAGCCAACATTGTAATTGCAATTTGAAATATATAAGTGAGTGATTGATTTAGATTTGTGATTTTCCATTAGAATCTTGCTAAGGTTGTAAACTGTTGAAACATTTAGGAGACCTTATGATTCACCACACATAAATATTTATACTATTGGATTCGTAGAACTATCTACATATGGGGAAGTTTTAAAAAATACACATTAATTTGTTAGAATTATGGAATTTCTTAAGTAGTTGGAAAGGCTTAATTTATTAATCAGACAACTGAAGTCCTTAAATAGAAAATACAATGTACATTCACATGTTCTTGGCTAGAAAAATTATTATTAAAAAAAAAAAAAAGAAAGACAGAATGCAAAAATTCCCAGCACCCAACAAGGTAAAATTCACAATGTCTGGCATGAATCATTACTGAGCATGAACAGTCAAAAAACATCATGCATGGACAGAAAAATAATCAACCCACGGAAACCTACCCAGAATGGGCACAGGTGTAAGAATCGTCAGAGAAAGGCATTTACTTCGTTATTTATTTATTTACTTTGATACAGAGCTTTGTTCTGTCACATAGGCTGGAGTGCAGTGGCGCGATCTCTGCTCACTGCAACCTCCACCTCCTGGGTTCAAGTAATCCTCCTGCCTCAGTCTCCCCAGTAGCTGGGATTACAGGTGCCTGCCACCACAAGCGGCTAATTTTTGTGTTTTTGATAGTGATGAGGTTTCACAATATTGGTAAGGCTGGTCTCGAACTTCTGGCCTCAGGTGATTCACCGACTTGGCCTCCCAAAGTGTTAGGATTATAGATGTGAGCCACCACATCTGGACTTACTTATTTATTTTTTAAGAGAGAGGGCCTCTGTCGCCCAGGCTGGCGTGCAGTGGGACAATCATATCTTACTGCAACCTCAAACTGCTGGGCTCAAGAAATTCTTCCACTTCAGCCTCCTGAGTAGCTGGGACTACAGGCATGAGCCACCATGCCTAGCCAATTTTTTTTAAGTTTTTTTAAAGTTTTTGTTTGTTTGTTTGTTTTGTACAGATAGGGATCTCACTATGCTGCCCAGGCTGGTCTTGAACTCTGGGCCTCAAGGGATCCTCCTGCCTCAGGCTCCCAAAGTGCTGGGATTACAGACCTGAGCCACCACACCCAGTCCAAAATAGTTTCTATAACTGTGTTCCATATGTGCAATAATTAAATAGAAACATGGAAAAATGTGTATATAAACAAATAGAATTTAATTTATAGAGATAAAAAATACACCAGTTGGGATTAAGGACAGATTAGACATTGACGAAGAAAAAAATAATCATGTGAAGGCATGGCAATAGAAACTATCCACACACCAAGAAAAATGAGCCGGCCTCAGCGGCTCAAGCCTGTAATCCCAGCACTTTGGGAGGCCGAGGTGGGCGGATCACGAGGTCAGAAGTTCAAGACCAGCTTGGCCAATATGGTGAAACATTGTCTCTACTAAAAATTAGCGGGGTGTGGTGGCGCACATCTGTAATCCCAGCTACTCAGGAGGCTGAGGCAGAAGAATTGCTTGAACCCAGGAGATGGAGGTTGCAGTGAACTGAGATCGTGCCATTGCACTCCAGCCTGGGCGACAGAAAGGAACTCCATCTCAAAAAAAAAAAAGAAAAAATTAATTTAAAAAAAATTTACGGGTGAGGTGTGGTGGCTCATCCCAGCACTTTGGGAAAAGTGCCTGTCACCCCAGCACTTTGGGAAACCCAGGCAGGCAGATCACTTGAGCTCAGGAGTTCGAGACCAGCCTGGGCAACATGATAAAACCCCATCTCTACAAAAAATACAAAAATTTGCTGGGCATGGTGGCATACACCTATAGTCCCAGCTACTTGAGAGGCTGAGGAAGGAGAACTGCTTGAGCCCGAGAGGTGGAGGTTGCAGGGAGCTGAGACTGCGCCACTGCACTCCAGCCTGGGCAATGGAATGACAACCTGTCTCAAAAAAAAAAAAAAAAAAAAAAATAAGATTATCAGTGAGCATTGGGATAATACTTCAAGCAGCCTAATACACAGGAATCCCAAAAGGCAAGGAGAAAAAGGGGTAACTAACACATATGTGAAGAATCAATGGCTCCAAATTTTCAAACTTGATAAAAACTGTAAGCCCACAAAGTTCAACAGCCCCAAACACAAGAAACATAAGGAAAACTACCAGGGCGCTCAGATTCTACAGATATTAAAATGGAGATCTGTAAACAACTTTATGCCGATACATTTGACAACTTAGATGAAATGAACAAATTCTCTGGAAGACGCAAACTATAAGAGCTCACTCAAGAAGAAATAGACTGGCCGGGCATGGTGGCTCACACTTGTAACCCCAGCCCTTTAGGAGACGACACTCGGCGGTGGATCACTTGAGATCAGGAGTTTGAGACCAGCCTGAGCAATATAGTGAAACCTCATCTCTACACAAAATACCAAATATAAAAATTAGGGCCGGGCGCGGTGGTACGTGCCTGTAATCCCAGCACTTTGGGAGGCCGAGGTGGGCGGATCACGAGGTCAGGCGATCGAGACCATCCTGGCCAACATGGTGAAACCCCATCTCTACTAAAAATACAAAAATTATCTGGGCATAGTGTCACACACCTGTAATCCCAGCTACTCGGGAGACTGAGGCAGGAGAACCCCTTGAACCTGGGAGGTGGAGGTTGTAGTGAGCCGAGATCGCACCACTGCACTCCAGCCTGGTGACAGAGCGAGACTCCGTCTCAAAAAAAAAAAAAAAAAAATTAGGGCCAGGCTTGTGCCCTAGCTGCCCCACCTCCAACCTCACTGACTACCTTTTATCCACACTGGAGTCATGTAATTTAATATAATTTAATATAATGTAACATTTGTATTACTTTTAATAGACATAAAGATGGGGTCTTGTTACATTGCCCAGATGGTCTCAAGTTCTGGGTCCAAAGTGATCCCCCTGCCTCAGCCTCCCAAAGTGCTGGGATTACAGACATGAGCCACTGTGTCTGCCATATTACCTTTCAATAATGAAAAAATACAATAGGCTGGGCGCAGTGGCTCACACCTGTAATCCCAGCACTTTAGGAGGCCAAGCGGGGAGGGTTGCTTGAGACCAGGAGTTTGAATCCAGCCTCGGAAACAGAGCAAGACCTCATCTCTACTAAAAATCCAAAAAATTAGCTGGGTGTGGTGGTGCGTGCCTGTAGTCCCAGCTACTCAAGAGGCAGAGGTAGGTGGGTCACTCGAGGCCACAGTTTGAGATCAGCCTAGGCAACATGGTGAGATGCCATCTCTAACCTCTACAAAAAATAAAAAATTCCCTGGGCATGGTGGGGCATACCTCTAGTCCCAGCTAATCGGGAGGCTGAGGCAGGAAGACCACTTGAGCCCAGGAGTTCAAGGCTGCAGTGAGCTATGATGGCGCCGCTGCACTCCAGCCTGGATAATAGAGTGAGTCCATAGCCCCCTTTTTTTTTTTATAGCATTTTAGGTTTTGGGGTACATGTGAAGAACATGCAAGATTGTGGCATAGATACACAGAGTCCATAGCTCTTAAAAAATGAAAGAAATCTTCCAATGCAGGGCCTTACATGTCCGTTTTGCTCTGGGCCCTAAAATTATGTAACCGATTTAGTCTAGAACCAGATGAGAGGTCTCAGCCCCATCGCCTTAGCGCTATGAGTTGCATGAAGTTGCTCAGTCTGTGGGGTGCTGGCGGCCGGGGTCAGCCACCTAAGACAGAGTGTGCCAGGGATGGAGTGGCAAGGCCGAGTGACCAAGGCCAATGTGAGCTCGTGGTTCCCATAACCAGCCCTCCTATGACAAAGCCAGGCCATAGGCCCAGGTCCACAGCAGGAAATCCTGGAAACAGCACATGCCTGTCCCTGCCTGGGCCTGGCCCCTGCAGGTAAATCAAGGCAGATATCTTCACTCCACTGTGTCTCACTGACCCCCAGGAGGTAGGAAGAGGGTGAGGGAAGTAAGAAGGCTTTGCAGGGGGTGAGGATAGGGCGTAAGAGGAGAGAAGAGACTGGGCCTTGGGCAGTGTCATTGGGGTGAGGCCGCCATGCACAGCGAGCACTCAGTTCCACAGCATCCACTGTGTGGGCCCCTCCATAACTGCTTTCTTTTCTCTTTCTTTTTATTTTTTCTTTATTTTTTGAGACAGGGTCTCACTGTCACTTAGGCTGGAGTGCAGTGGCATGACCTTGGCTCACGGCAATCTGCCTCCTGGATTCAAGCAATCCCCCAACCTCAGTCTCCCAAGTAGCTGTGACTATAGGCATGCGTCACCATACCCGGCTTTTTTTTTTTTTTAGACAGTCTCGCTCTGTCACCCAGGCTGGAGCTCAGCTGCATTCTCTTGGCTCACTGCAACTTCCACTTCCCAGGTTCAAGCAATTCTCCTGCCTCAGCCTCCCGAGTAGCTGGGATCACAGGTGCGCACCTCCACACCTGGCTAATTTTTTTATATTTTTAGTAGAGACAGGGTTTCACCATGTTGGCCAGGCTGGTCTCACACTCCTGACCTCAGGTGATCTGCCTGCCTCAGCCTCCCAAAGTGCTGGGATTCCAGGCATGAGCCACCCATGCCTGGTCCTCTGATTGTTTTCATGTTGACTCTGTTCTCCCCAAGCCCATTGATTTTTTTCTTTTTTCTTTTTTTTTTTTTTTTTGGAGTTGCGGTCTCCGTCCATCACCCAGGCTGGAGTGCAGTGCTGCTATTCTCCATTAATTTTGACCAGTTACAGAAAAATAGATCATTCATGTTGAAGCCAAGAGAGTTCATCTGATCTCAGAAGGTTAGGGCAATGGGTTGGATTGAGGCCCCGCAGACTAGGCAGCTACCTCCCCACTGGAGGGCCATGGGTGGGAGGATGGGGGTGGTCGATAAACTGGAAGAGAAGGAGCCAGGAGCAGCTGGGTCACCCCCTCTTCTCCCCACTAATTTCCTCCCTTGCTGTTTTTTTACAGCTAATAGCAATTCCTTCTTTTCTTTCTTTGTTTTGTTTTGTTTGTTTGTTTGAGATAGACACAGTCTCATCTGTTGCCCAGGCTGGAGTGCAGTGACCCCATCTCGGCTCACTACAACCTCTGCTCCCCCAGGTTCAAGCCATTGCTGTATATCAGCCTCTGGAGGAGCTGAGATTATGGTGTGTCACGCCACACCCAGCTAATGTTTCTATTTTTAATAGAGGTGAGATTTTGCCACGGTGGCCAAGGTGATCTTGAACTCCTGACCTCAAGTGATCCGCCTGCCTCCACCTCCCGAAGAGCTGGGATTACAAGCATGAATCACAGCTTCTGGTCAGCAATTTCTTTTTTAAAAAAAAAAAAAAAGCCTGCTTCCTCCCATCAAAAAGTGGGTGAAGGACATGAATAGATATTCCTCAAAAGAAGATCTGCAAATGACCACCAAGCATATGAAAAAATGCTCAACACCACTAATCATCAGGGAAATGCAAACTAAAACCACAATGAGATACAGAATGTATCCCAGTCAGAATGACCGTTATTAAAAGCCAAAGAAACAAATAGATGTTGCCATGGATGTGGTGAAAAGGAAACGTTTATACATTGCTGGCAGGAAACAAATCATAAATCAGTACAACTTCTATGGAAAACAGCATGGAGATTGCTCAAAGAACTCAAAGTAGACCTGCCATTTGATCCTGCAATCCCACTACGAGATATCTATCAAAAGAAAACAAGTCACAGTATTGGCCGGGCACGGTGACTCATGCCTGTAATCTCAGCACTTTGGGAGGCAGAGGCAGGTGGATCACTTGAGGTCCCAAGTTCAAGACCAGCCTGGCCAGCATGGTGAAACCCCATCTCTACTCAAAATACAAAAATTAGCCAGGTGTGGTGGTGGGCGCCTATAATTCCAGCTACTTGGGAGGCTGGGGCAGGAGAATCGCTTGAACCCAGGAGGCAGAAGTTGCAGTGAGCTGAGATCTCGCCACTGCATTCCAGCCTGGGTGACAGGGCAAGCCTCTGTCTTCCCCCCAAAAAACACATATTGGGTACAATATACACTACTGGGGTGAATAGTACACTGAAATCTCAGACTTCACCACTATAGAATGCATCCATGTAACCAAAAACAACTTGTACCTCCAAAGCTGTTGAAATATACATGTACACACACACACACACACACACACACACACACACAAACAATAGGCTGGATGTGGTGGCTCACGCCTATAATCCCACCACTTTGGGTGGCTGAGGCAGGTGGATCACCTGAGGTCCCAAGTTCAAGACCAGCCTGGCCAACATAGTGAAATCCCGTCTCTAATAAAAATACAAAAATTAACTGGATGTGGCAGCACACACCTGTAATCCCAGCTACTCGGAGAGCTGAGGCAGGAGAATTGCTTGAACCCAACAGGTGGAGGTTGCAGTGAGCTGAGATTGCACCACTGCTCTCCAGCTTGGGTGACAGAGCGAGACTCCGTCACAAAAAAAAAAAAAAAGAATCTCTCAAGAGGAGGACAAGAGTGGGATGGTGATGGAAATGATGGATGGGGACAGAGCCCTAGACAGGGATGGGGAGGGTAGAGGGATGCCTGCCGTGGACAGTTGACTGAGTGTCCAAGCCTTGATGACCCTCGTGCTGGGTGTGGGGGTCAGAGGGCAGCTGTGACGTCAGAAAAGGGCTGGACCAACAGACAGGACATTGTGTTTTGTTGACACACAATATAACCAGGTGAGCTGCAAGACAAGAGGGTGTGTCTGCCAGGAAGGGCCAGGCTGAGGCCACTACAGCTCTCTCCCTAGGAACACACCCTTCCCTGGCATCTCCATCCCGGTGATCTGAGCAGGGGGTGAGGCTCTGGGTCCCCAGAGAGGGGACACGGAAAGGGTTAGAGGCTGCTCAAAGCTGGCCAGGGCCCCAGAGGACAGCCGATGCCAGGCGCAGAGACAGAGGAGCCACCGAATCCTGGAGAGCAGAAACAGGGTCTGAAAGGTCCCATTCTACAGAGGCAGAGACTGAGACTAGGGATGAAATAAGCAATAACACGCAGGATGTGGAGAGAGCAGGAGGGGGCCAAGGAGAGGCGGCGAGAAGAAGAAAGAGAAGAGAAGGGAAAGGAAGGGGCTAGAAGAACCCAGGAACAGGGAAGAGAGGAGCAGTGAGAAAGGAGGGAGCCAGGTGCAGTGGCTCACCCCTGTAATCTCAGCACTTTGGGAGGCCAAAGTGGGAGGATCACCTGAGGTCAGAAGTTCGAGACCAGCCTGGTTAACATGGTGAAACCCTGTCTCTACTGAAAATATACAAAAATTAGCTGGGCACGGTGGTGCACGCCTGTAATCCCAGCTATTCAAGAGCCTGAGGCAGGAGAATCGCTTGAACCTGGGAGGTGGAGGTTGCAGTGAGCGGAGATCTCACCACTGCACTCCAGCCTGGGTGTCAAGGTGAGGCTGTCTCAAAAAAGAGAGACGGGGGAAGGAGGTTGGGAGGAAAACAAAAGGTCAGTGTCTAAGACGCCGTCACTAGAGATACATCAACAAGGGTCTGGGAGGCACAGAAAGTGCAAGGAAGGGAGTGTTTTCATTACGACAAATGGGCTGCAGGTCTGGGTGACATCGCCACAGGGTGACATCTGGAGGGGCAGGGACGCTGAGGTCTGCAGGTCCTGTTTCTGCCTTGGTTCCCCTCCACCCTTCTCTGGGGGCAGGTGAGGCACAGAGGGAGCTCCCGGAGGGTGCAACAGGTGCCCACAGCCATCCCTCCTGCCCTGAGCCCCTGGGTCCCCACGGCCGTGAAACCCAAAGCGGCTTAGCTGGAACGATCCCTAGAGGTCCTAATGCCTTGTCTTTTGGGGAGAAACTGAGGCAGGAGATGAACTGACCGGCCCCAGGGTGCACAGCTGGTTCATGGCAGGATTAGAATCTGGGGCTCCTGAGGATCGTGCCACTGTACCCCAGCCTGGGAGACAGAGCAAGACCGGCCCATTTTGTGCCATATCCATTTGGCTATATCCCGAGGCACACAGCAGGACGTGCCGGTGTGGGAGGTGACCAGGGAATTGGTGCGAACATTCAGTAGGTAAGGACAGACCCTAATACGGGTTGAGCATCAGTCTTGTGCCAGAAATCATGTGGGGTTGGGGGGCTCTTTTTAATCCTAGCAGCAGCCCTGAAAAGCAAGTGTTATTATTCTTGCTTTCCAGAGGGGAAACTGAGGCTCAGAAGGGGACACTAAGGCTCAAAGACACTCAGCTGGAGGAGGCTCTGATGACCCAGCTCTTCCCCCAAAGCTCGCTGGGGAGAGGAGTCCAGGAGGTGGGCACAGGGCTGACTGAGCTCCAGGCAGTGGGCATCCCCCTATTGGTACCCCGGAAGCAGCCCTCCCTCACCGATGGGCAGACAGAGCACGCTGTCCTCCAGGATGGGGACCTCGAGGGCAGCAGGGCATGGGGGTCACTCACCCTGCTCTGTGGTGGCAGCTTGTGGGGGCAGGAGGGGGAGGACCAAGGTGAGCAGACACAGCGCCATGGTCTCTGGCCTCGGCATCGGCACGTCTCACCTGCCCGGTCACTGCTGGAGGAGCTGGCGAAATGAGCGTCAGCCAAGGAAACTCAGAAATAAATGGGCCCCGGAGACCTTTGATCCCTGAGACACTGGAGACCTGGGACCAGTCTGAGCCTGAGTCAGTCTGGAAGCTTCCCTCATGACTCGGGGTGCGGGGCCTGTTTCAGGCCAAAGGGCAGACGGAGGGGGTGCCTCTCCCTGGCCAGGCAGCCCATAGGCATGAGGGTAACCAGCTTTATCACCCCAACAGAGGGACAGCCCGGGGGACCTGCAGGAGCCGGGGGAAGCTGACGAGACCCCCCCCCCGCAACAGAGGGAGGTGAGAGATGGGCAAGAGAGGCCAGGCCTGAGCCAGGAAAAGAAGAGGGTACCGCCTACATTTGACCCTGACCCCTAGCAGGGACACCCCCTTTGTCTCTCTTTTTTTTTTGAGATGGAGTCTTGCTCTGTTGCCAGGCTGGAGTGCAGTGACATGATCTCGGCTCACCACAACCTCTGCCTCCCGGGTTCAAGCAATTCTCCTGCCTCCTGCCTCAGCCTCCCAAGTAGCTGGGACTACAGGTGCGTGCCACCACACCTGGCTAACTTGTATTTTTAACTGGAGATAGGGTTTCACCATGTTAGCCAAGATGGTCTCCATCTCTTGACCTCATGATCCGCCCACCTCGGCCCCCCAAAGTGCTGGGGTTACGGGTGTGAGCCACCGCGCCCGGCCCCCCTTTGTCTCTTTTCTCACCCTTATTATTGACCAGGTGTGGTGGCTCACGCCTGTAATCCCAGCACTCTGGGAAGCCAACACGGGTGGATCACTTGAGGTCAGGAGTTTGAGACCAGCCTGGCCAACATGATGAAACTCCATCTCTACTAAAAATACAAAAATCAGCCAGGTGTGGTGGTGCATACCTGTAATCCCAGCTACTTGGGAGGCTGAGGCAGGAGAATCGCTTGAACCTGGGAGGTAGAGGTTGCAGCGAGCCAAATTCATGCCACTGTACTCCAGCCTAGGCGACAGAGCAAGGCTCTGTCTCAGAAATAAATAAATAAATAAATAGCCCTTCATAGTGTCCTATGAGTATGCCATGAAGAAATGGCCATGCCTGGGCCGGGGAGTCCTTGGATCTGGTCTGGGGGTTCCGAGGTTAGCGCGGCTCCCGGGACGGTTCTGAAGTGACCCCGCCCTGGGCAAGCTCAGCAGAGCCAAGTGCTCACTCCCTGGCCAACTGGGGTTGAGCCTGAGGTCCTCTCCTGTCCTCAGAACCTGATCCTAGGTGTTTCTGCCACAGGGACCTCGGCAGAGGCGGGCCTAGCCCTGTCCTGGCTGGAGCAGGGGAGGGGGCTCCCTGCCCAGACATGGGAAGGGGCTGAATCCATGCCCGGATTCAGCAGCCAGCCCTGGAAGGAATGCCCGTCCCAGGAGGACTCTACCTACAACCCGACCCCCCAACTGCAGAAAGAAGGAAAGGAAACCTCTCGCTTCACATTCTGAGCTTTAAGATTTGCTTTTATTGGTAGGGAAATTCCAGAGTGGGGAGCCACCCAGGAGCAGACAGGGTGCCGAAGTTTCTGGATGGAGGAGTTCACAGCCCTCCACTTCCCCAGCAGGAGCACAGGCAAGGGACGACCAAGTCTGTCAGCTCAGAGCAGGACCAGCTTCAGGGCCTGACTTTGGTCTCCTCTTGACCAACGCCGGGGGTCTCTGGTGGGCTCTGCTGCTCTCCTGTCCAGACATAGATGAGGGTGGGAGGCCCCACTGGCTCACAGAGTGGAGGCCACCACCTTTGGCCTCTGGATGTGGAGCTGGGGGGCAGGAGAGAAGAGGTGAGGCCACGAGGCAGATCCAGGGAAAAGGGGAGCCCCAGGGGGAGGAGGGAGCCCCAGGAGAAGGAGGAGGGAACCTGGGGGTAGGGGGAGGAGGAAGTCCGGGAGGAGGGAGGGAGTCCCAGGGGGAGGGGTGTGTCCCTGGGGTAGGGGGGTGTCCCAGGGGGAGGGAGGGAGTATCAGGGAGGGGGGGAAGTCCCGGGGGAAGACAGAACCCCAGAGGAAGTGGGGAGCCTCAGGGCATGGGGGCAGCTCGACGAGAGTCACCTCTGCCTTGGAGTCGACATTCTCCAGGGTGGGCCTGAAGTTGCTGTAGGCATTCTTAAGGCCGTATCTGCTCTCCCTCAGATTCTGGTCTGTAGGGAGAGGCGGTGCTGAGTGATGGGAGCCTTGCTGGCGGAGCGGGTGGGGGCGGAACTCGGGGCAAAGGGCATTTCTTACAGCAAAAGGAGCTCATAGGCAGTCAGCCGGGCATCTGCTCTCCACCCTTCCCACTGCCGACCACCCCTCCGCGCCCGCATCACTGGGCTGCGGGAAGTGCAGAGCCTGGCCCACTGGACCCAAACAGGAGGGGGCGGAGCAGAAGCTCCCCACATGTACAGGGTGGAAGCCAGGGCCACGGAGGAATGTGGGTGCAGCCACGGGCGCAGCGGTGAGGCCAGGGTGGACGGGAGGCAGGGCTGGCTCTTGGTCAGCAGGGCCGGGCTCCCTCATAGCAACAGTAGCCACAGCAGGCAGAACAGCTGAGCCCGGAATCTTCCAGCATCCTCCCAGAGCCCAGCGATCACTTCCTGGGCCCGCAAAACCACCTACTCTCTCTAGACTGGGCTCTCCCTGCACCTCTGACTTCTCCTTTCCTGCCTCCTTCGAGGTCAGGGTCCTCAGGCCCTACCTGTCCGTCCACAGTGGTTCCCTAGGGGGTTCCCCTTTAACCCTCCTCACATCTCACTCGGCATTCTCCCCGGATGAATGGACAAACCTCTTACCCAGTCCGTGGTTCAGGCTGCAGACCCCTCCCAGAGCTTCAGACAGGCACGAGCCTTGCAGCCCCCGCTCAGCAGCCCCCAGCCCCCCAACTCAGCGTGCCCCGCCGGCTGCCCATCCCCCATCCACCGGGGCCCAAGGGTCAGCTCAGACAACACTGGAAATCCTCCCTCACTCCCTGCCCCTCCCCCATCCCCTCAGCCTCACCTATTCCACCTGGTCTCCCTGCTTTAGTGACCCCCAAAACCCACCTGAATGGCCTTTTGAGTAAAAATAGATAAATAAATAAAAATGTGGCCGGGCGCGGTGGTTCATGCCTGTAATCCCAGCACTTTGGGAGGCCAAGGCAGGTAGATCACCTGAGGTCAGGAGTTTGAAACCAGCCTGGCCAACATGGTGAAACCCTGTCTCCACTAAAAATACAGAAATTAGCCAGGCGTGGTGGCGGGTGCCTATATTACCAGCTACTAGGGAGACTGAAGCAGGAGAACCACTTGAACCCTGGAGGCAGAGGTTGCAGTGAGCTGAGATGGCACCATTGCACTCCAGTTGCTCATGCAATGCCCCCTGCCCGGGACGTCCTTTCCCTTGTCCTCACGGAGATAAGGCCTCCCCGCTCACTGGGCTCTCCCTCTGTGGAGGGAGGAAGCACACCTGCTTGCTCACTGGCTCAAGAATCAGACTCACATCGGGCCTTATCTGACCCCCTCTCCCCACCCAAGCTGGGTCAGGTTCACCCCTCTGCTCTCTCTGCCCTAGGAGCGGCCCTATCACCCTGCTCAGCTGAGTGTGCATCGGACGCCCTCACTGGGTTGGTTTCTAGGGGCAGGATCTGGTTCTCAACCACCCTAGCACCCTTGCACACAGCAGGGGTGGTGTCTGGGTCTGGGACTGCAGCGGCAGATGGGGAATGGGCTGTCAGCTGCAGCCACCTCGAAGGGAGGCAGGACACCGTGTCACCCTCACAGGTACAGGCACCACCCTGCCTCCCTTCACCCTCCAGCTCTGCTCATCCCCTTGCCCTTAACGAGAGGTACCTTCCCAGACGGCCATCTTCCGGTAGTTGCCTTCCTTTTGCCAAGCTTGAAACACATTGTACCCTTGCCTGCAGAGAGAAGTGCCATGAGCAGTGTGGAGGCAAGGAGGCTGAGGAGGGACTCAGTGGACCCTGACCTTCAGCTTCCCTCGAGGGGACAGTCGCAGCCACGCCTCGAGTCAGACGGCAGCAATGATGGCAGAGAACAAAAAGTAGCATCACCGTGGCTTCCCCTCCTCCAAGGCAGGCTTCCTGGCTGCCCCTCACTCCCTTTCGTGGGCCTGTTTCCATATCCGTGATCTCACTGCCGACTTCAGGCCAGGGACTGCGCCAGGGTGTCACAGCAACCTTCACAGGGGCAGCTTATCCCATTTTACAGCCGGGAGAAACGAGACCCAGACGGCCCGGTCCCAGCTTCCTGGTGCAGTACTGTGCTCAGTGGCAGCCCAGGTGAACAATAACTAACCACAGGGAATGTCGTTACATAATCTAACTTCCACACATAAGCTTCTGTTTCCGCTGTCAGTGTTATGGCTTGAATGTGTCCCTTAAAGTTCATGTGTTGGAAACTTAATCCCCAATGTAGCAGTGCTGAGAAGGAAGACCTTGAAGACATGATTAGGTCATGAGGGTCCTGCCCTCATGAATGGATTAACGTCATCAACTCAAGAAGTGGGTGTGTCATAAAATCCATTTCAGACAGCCGAGGGCACCGGCTCATGCCTGTAATCCCAGCACTTTGAGAGGCCAAGGCAAGTGGATCAGTTGAGATCAGGAGTTCAAGACCAGCCTGGCCAACACGGTGAAACCTCATCTCTACTGAAAATACAAAAATTAGCCAGGTGTGGTGGCAGGTGCCTGTAATCCCAGCTACTCAGCAGGCTGAGGCCCGAGAATCGCCTGACCCTGGGAGGTGGAGGTTGCAGTGAGCCAAGATCGCACCCCTGCACTACAGGCTGGGTGACAGAGTGAGACCCGGTCTCAAAAAAGAAAATTTCTTTAAAGAATAGCCCAGTGTGAGGCACAGGCCTATAATCCCAGCTACTCAGGAGGCTGAAGCAAGATCACTTGAGGAGCGATGAGGAGTCTGAAGCAGGAGTTTGAGGCTGCAGTGAGCTATGATTGTACCACCGCACGTCAGCCGGGGTGACAGAGCAAGACTCTATCTCTTACAGAAAAAAAAAAA